ATAAAGAAAATCTCTGAAGATATCCAATATATTTCTTTTGCAATATCAAATCAGAAAATTTATCCAAACATTATCAAACATTAGAAAAATAATTCGATAAGACACAAAAATTAATTTTTGCTGAGAGTTGGTGATTACATGCTTTAATAAAATGTTATTTTGTTTCAGATTTGACAGGGAAACATCTACAATAAATATTTATTTTTGAAACATTTACTTGTAATTTTACTGCGTGATTTTGAAATACTTTCGGCTGGGGATGACAAAATCAAGTTTTCATTCAATAAAGACACGTTTGAAGAAGCGAAAAATCTAAAAATTGATGCTTTTTTCGCATTAGAAATATTTATCAAACATTTTTACTTCATTGATTATTTTCACAAGTGTTAGATTATTTTTAGTACGGAAGTTCCAAAAGAGAAATAATTCTGAATTACCTCCTTTAACTGAACACTCTTCTCTGTCGGAAGAGTAATATGATATTAATTTAATATTTTAATATTTATCGTTCTTGATCAGTTAGTTTTGTGTTTTCCAATCTATCAATACCGGTGTGATATTAGTATTTTTTTTTGTTTTTTTGTTTTTTGTGTGTTTCTGCTTTCCTGCTTATTTAATAAATATTGATTACTTTTGTTATATCAGTAACTGCATTATTTCAAAATGTTTTTTTAATGAAAGTACTTTAAAGTAATTGAAGAAGATAAACTCTGTTACATCTAAACATGATGCTGTTTTTGCTCCATTTTGATTGAACGCTTTTTTCTGATCGACCAGCTGGCCATGTCTAATAGTTATTAAATAAATTATTTATTTTACTAAGATTCATAAAAGAGCATAGAATAAAATATTATATTCTTAAACTATTGGTTATATCGTCGTTGTCACCTTTATCTCGTATCCAAGAATTTCATTTCTTCTTTGCTGATCGCTTTCTTTATGATGATAGTGTTGATGACTAAACTCGGCACCAACGGACAGGTTCAGGACTAGAAGCTTCCAATTTCACCAAAAACCCGCTTCCGTCAACCATTCTGCATTGCCGTTTGGCTTTGCAAGATTTGGTTGAAGGTGGAAGAAAATCAGAGTGGAAGAATTTGCCGATGACCTCAGCTTGCCAGGAAGTGACCCACAAACTTGATTTCATGACCTTCCTCTGCGGCACATATGGAATGAGTCATGCAGAATGCAGTTATGAAACAGCAACGAACTTCCGCCAACCCAGTTATAATTTCGAATGACGCCTTCTATAGTATATCCTTTATGCGTAGCCCCCTTCATTCGCTGGTTCAGCCGTTGAGATATGTTGTAATCGTCATGCGCTTATTCCACTGTTGAGGTCGTTTGTGTTATATATTTTTAATAAATATTGATTATGTATTATTTTCATTTTTCTTAAAATCCGGCAGCAGCATTTTTAATGTTATCTAAAAGTCATCATGATATTTGAAGGTCATTAATTTTTATGAGAATTAAGCGTGAAATTACTCAAAGAAAAAGCAATAACTAACACTATGTTCAATAACTCTTCATTTTCCACCATTTTTAGTAGCAATTTTGCTATTTTGTTATATTTAGAATAATTACAAATATACCCCATTAAGTGCAATTAAATATTATTATAACGTCAAACAGGTAAGAAAATAATTTTAAAAAATAAAAGCATTAAATTCAACTCAAAATTATAATTTCACTAGTTTTTAATTATTAATTAAATCTCTCTCTATAAAATTGCTTAATTAAATTTTATTTAGACAGTTTTAAAACATTTCTGTTAATAACGTAAGATTGATGCATTAGATAAAATTTTGACTTTCTTCAGGTGTAGTTAATTAATAATATATTAGATAAAATGTCTTTGCGTCTTTTTACGTTAAAAAACGCAAAGACATTTTTGCCTCCCGCCTACTAAAATAATAACAAAACTCAAAGAGAAAAGTCCCTAACCAAGTAAAATCTGACTTTTATCTAATATATTATTATTAAGTGAATTTCAATGTCAATCTATATATATAAAATTGAGGATGTCTGTCTATCTATGTGATACCTTTTCACTCGAGATCCATCCAACCGATTTTAACCAAACTTGGCACATACAATAAGAGATAGGTTCTTAGCGTAAAAAATCAATAATTTAAAAAAAAATCAATAATCGATAAAGCCGATCAAAAATTCATAAATTCAACTTTTTTCCTCTGATCTCGTTCAAACTCAATATATAGGTTACTTAATTATGAGGAGCCCAACAGTACCTCATTTTTATTTCTACGCCAAATTGATTTCAACAGAAATTTTAAAATAAAAAACGTTCCCAATTGTAGTCAACAATAAATTGATTGTTTAACAGTCATTTAACTTGATAATTGAGTCCACCCATATTGTGAAAACTCGCGTAAATAGCGAAAAATGGCGATTTTTACTGGTTTCTTTCTTATTTTTCGTTGATCTTTCAACCAATTTTCATCAAACTTAACAATTGCTTTATAAATATATCCTCTTCTACATTCCTGGTAGCGCACTGATAAACTGAATTTTAAAAACTCAAAAATAATTGTGGTTTGAAGTGGGTCTTCATGTTGCCTGTTTTACCCCTTCATGTCCTCATCTAACTTCGATTAAATACATACTGACTACTTCTGTTATATCAGTAACTGCATTAATTCAAAATGTTTTTTAATGAAAGTACTTTAAAGTAATTGAAGAAGATAAACTCTGTTAAATCTAAACATGATGTTGTTTTTGCTCCATTTTGATTGAACGCTTTTTTCTGATCGACCAGCTGGCCATGTCTAATAGTTATTAAATAAATTATTTATTTTACTAAGATTCATAAAAGAGCATAGAATAAAATATTATATTCTTAAACTATTGGTTATATCGTCGTTGTCACCTTTATCTCGTATCCAAGAATTTCATTTCTTCTTTGCTGATCGCTTTCTTTATGATGATAGTGTTGATGACTAACTGGTTACTCTTCTTTTATTTTCGCTCCTTAGTAATGTTTCTGTTTCTAATTCTTCTACACCCAGAAACCCTTTGTGCCTTTGTGGCTTTACTGCCTTGCTTGGGGTGAACTCGGTTGAAAGCAAAACAAATAAGAAAAAAAAACAAAAAAAAAACGTATGTACCAATTTCTTGATTATTGTACTGTTGGCGTTCCGTATTTTTATATAATTTTTTTGGATGACAATCAAAAA